GGGGGCCGCAGGGCTCCCCTCTCCCCCCCGGAGAGGGGGTGCCCTGGCACCCAATCACCTCTGAGTCCCCCTCTTCTCGAGGAGGGGCCAATCTCAAGCCAATCTCATGACAATTGGCTTGAAGCTCAACTCAAATTACTGTCTTTTCTCCAAGTGGCAGCTCTAGTTTGAGGGGGATGGACAGGTATTTCTACCTTCTACTCAGCACGATTCAGCTGCACTCTGTTGGTGGATGAGAGTCTTATGCTAGTATTAATTTTTAGTTCATTTAAAGGAAAATTCTCTTTAAATTAAAAGGAGAAAGAAGACCAGATTGATGTTCTTAAGCATCATACTTTTCGTTTGGCAGATCAAGTGCATCACAGATACTTTGAAGTAGCTTCAACCACTTCCTATACAATACCAAGACAAATGATTCCTGGTAAATTATTTTTGGGCAAATTTTCTGTCATAGTGAAGTGTTTATGTAGTTGTTCAGTAAGTGTGAGAAAGTTCAAGGTGTAGAATCAAACCTGTCTGTTCATCTCAGTGTACCTGTAACAGGCAGGTACTGTATCTGCACCTTTCCTTCCCCTGAGAGATGGGTGACAACTTTCCCAGGACTTGAACTGTGGAAAAACTGTGGTGTTTTTCACACGCTGCTCTCGATGGATGCCAAATGGAAATGCCATTCACTTAGAGAAAATGAAGACACTAAGGATTTGGTACTGCTTTTGCTGTCATTTTTAACATCAAGCCTTGGAAATGGCCAGGGCAGATTCAGCTTGACAGATGGATATGAAATTGGATTTTTGTCTTGAACATCAACTCTTAAAGTCACTTAACTCATACTGAGTTTAGACTTTTATTTCTTTATTTGTACAGACACATACATATCTATGCATATGTGTGTGTGTAATGCATAAACTTTGAAAATCTGTATTTCTGTTCCTTAGAGTAAATTGTCAGGAGATGCAGTTTCCTGTCTGGTTGGAGTGTGTTCCTGAATTTGCACAGGCCGTGAGGGGAGGAAAATTATCCTGTACTAAAGCTTGGCAGCCAGGACTGAGGAGGGTGATTCTCTTGCTGACTGACAAGGACTGTGCTTATGAAAAGCTCATCTTACTCCTTTTGTGCCCAGGTTACTCTGTGCCTTTGGGTACTCACATCACTCTTGGACTTCTGACTTCTCGTGTCAGAAGTGGGGAATAGCTGTGGCAGTAGCGCCTGGATACTAGTTCCTTGTAGAACCAAACATGAAATGTCACTGACTGTAGAGTGGCATCTTCATGTTGTGATCATCAGAGTGGTAGTTGATGTTGGGTGTTTTAATATTTATCATTAAACCTCAGCTTCAGTCCCTTGGGATGTATGGTGAAGCTTCTTGAGTGTCACAGTGTTAATCTCTGCAGAAGTTGCACCTTATTTGTCTTTCTAACAGTTTCATTACAGCTGAAATTTGTGGACATTTTACTTTGCGTTTTTAAATGAAGTCTGCCAACTAGTGGACAAGGTGACACCCCGTCAGAAAGATGATTGCCAGGTTTCTGTAGCAGGGTGTGTTGGTGACAAAATCTGTGTTGAATGGTTCTGTCTGCAGTCTTCTGAATGTGGTGTTGAATGGTCTGTATACACTTGGGTGTGTCATTTATACCACACTCTGCTTCTGCTTTGTCTGAAAGCTTGTTGGGGAAAGATTTCTTACAGTGTTTCTCTCATTTTCTTCTGGAGGTGATGCCTAAGCTCTGCATGCTGGTTCCTCATTCCTTGACAAGAATTATTTTAAACGTCCTCCTATTAAAACTGGGAGTGTGTCTCGTGACTATCCCAACAATTACATACATGCCAGAGAAAGAATTTACTTGGGGAAAGGGAGGTGTACCTTTTGTGTCAGCTCAGGAGTCTGGAGTGGGATGTCCACGAGACTTAAGCCCCTGTTGGTTTGGTGTAGGTGGGGTAGAACAGATGGAAAGCAGCAATCCCCAGTTCTGGCTGTCCTTACAGCTGTGCCGGTAGAGGTGATGCTGTGAGGGAAGGAGGCAAAGTGTATGGGAAGAATTAAGAAACTTCCCTGCTGCTCTCTGTTGAGTTGTATCTGTGCATCCTAATCTCAGCTACCGTTTCCCCTTTTCCAAAGGCTGTAGGGGATGGTTGGTATACTTTAGGGTACAGCTTGGATAAACACTAGTGTAAGCTGTTGTTGAGAGCCATATGGCTGGACGGTTTGTTTCTGCAGTCACTGAAGTTTCCAATTACCTTTTATTTCCAGGATATGAAGGATACTGCTGTAAGATGGATGAATCCTAAAACACCATTGACATAAATTTGCATCTGGTTCCTCCCTTCTCATTACAGGCTAGTTTCATGTGTTCTACTTGTTTCACTTCCCTAGCCGGCTGAACTTTTATCATCACTGAAATTTTCATCGGCTGACTTTTTGGATGTTACTGATAAACAGTTTTCTAATAAGCTTTGCTACTGAGCATCGAATTGGAGCACCAACTTGATGAATTTTGTTTTAATAATGCTTTTCATACCTGATTAAAATTATTACTGTAATTTCTTGTTCCTTAGGAGTCATTTAGTACTGTGCTTCTCTTCCTGAAATGATGTTTTCAAAGTATTTTCCATAACCATTACTATTTCAGATAGATGGGGAGAACAAGGAAGTGGTTTAAAGTCATAGTGAGGCCTGTTCTTTTCAGTGGATTAAAAGAAAAAAAAGGTAGTAAAAAACCCCTGAGTAAACCAGTAGTTAGCCAGTAAGTTTTTGAGGAAGAAAGTTGTCATCTAATGCATTTTCTTTTTCCTCTCCAGTTACACATCCACACATTCCTCCATATAATGATATTACCTTGCCATACCTTTTGTTTTTCATTAACTACTTAAATCTAAATTGCAGTTGTTGAAGACTGCAATGTGAGTGTTTCCTCCTTCTCTTCAGAAAGTAGTTGTAGCATGAACGGTCCCTGTTGTACTTGATAACAAGACTACTTTGTTCTGCTGGAGATGTGTGCTGCACCATTGAAAAGACATTGTTTCTTGTCCTTGAGAAACAAGAAAGTTTTTCCTAAGCTTGTATTTTCATTATCTTCAAAGGAAATGTTTTAATTTTTTGTGAAATGGCATTTTCTGTTTCTCGTCAGTAGAAATTATCCCAATCAGGGAAGTAGCAAAGTTGTTATAAACCTGTTAGCTTATGGATTTTTTTCATACTGAATTTATTGCTGAGAACTGTGATTGGACACTTGGCCTTATCTAGAGTACATTACTTGTTTTCCTGTAATCTTGTGTGGCCTTTTTTTGTTTGGTTTTGCATGTTTGCTTGTTTTGTTTGGATTTTTTTTAGGGGGGAGCTGGACTTTCTGAGTATTTTTCTTTGACACAGAAAAATGAGAAAAAAATGGCAATGTGGGATGTTCCACTGGAGTAACTCTGTGCTTGGGAATAGTGTGACTGTATTGCTGGAGGGACATACAACTTTGGAAATCTTCTTTAATAGTGCAGAATTGCTTGGGATAGCCAGAATGCATACAAAAATAATTTTCAAAAAGTGTAGAAATTTGTGCAATAAAATAGAATACTTTGGTTTTAAACATTGGATGTAACTGGATTTATACCTGGAAGACTCTTCCGATATTGAGTTCATATATGTTAGCTCTTTCAGCATTTATCCTACAGTGCCCCAAACCTTTACTTTAAAATCCTTCTCTGCTGTTGTATGTTTTCCATTCATGACAATGTAAGGGAAAACTGAATTTAGTTTTATAAAAGTATTAATCAGATTTATTGTACTGAGTATATGAAAGTGAGAGATTTGGTTTTGCTTGATAATTGCTTGCACTGTTACTGAAGATTTGGATCAGATAAAATAGGTCTCTTAGTATGTACACGTCATGTGCATCTGTGCATCTAGTGCCTCGAACACGGGGAAGGGAGGGAGTTTAGCGGCAATTCCACTTCCTTTGCTGTGGGGCAAATGAACAAATTAATTGTTTGGTGTTAGTGTTCTGGAGTTGAGGAGAGAGGTAACATGAAACTAGTGAAAACCACATGCAAGCTTATAATATCAGTGACCCATCATGTAATCTGTTGTATTGAAAGGAAAATCAATACACTATTCTCAGGGTGTGTTTTAAATTGCATATGGGAAGATAACACCAAAGGGCTCCAAGGTACAAACAAAAACATTGTCACACCACATCCACACACATTTATGTCACACCCACACACATTTGCAATATCATACATACTAAACTGCCGTATCATTTTTGGACTAGCATCATGCAGTGTGATATTCCATGCTAAATATGCCTTGCAGTTAAAATCTTTGGCCTATAGGCAGTTCTTCCGGTGGAGAAGGTAGAGAGCAAGACTGGTTCAAAAGAGGGGCAAGGAAGTCCTGCCTGGGGGCTGTGAGCAGATACTAGTGATTTGCTGTTGGGAAATACCACGCTGTACTCTAAAAGCAGTAGGCAGGATTAGATCCAGGAACTCACTTAAGCATGAACTGGCCTTTTTTCAAATGTGAAATCAATTTTCACATCACATTATTTCTTCTAAATGTAGGTTCAGATGAAGGTGTTAACACTGAAAAAAACCCAAACCAAACCATCATGCTTATTGTACTCTGTGTAGTTTTTTTTCCTTAGCTGTTTATACAGCCAAGTTATGGTGAAGTATCTAGAGGTGCCTTTGCCTCACAGCTATGCAAGTAATTACATTGGCCTGAAGAGTTTCTAGGTAATTATCTTTATGCAGCTCAATTTATCTGCAAGTCATGTGAGAGTGATATTTGGAATTTAACTGTGTTGTGCTATTAACTGGATCCTGAACTGATATTTTTGGGATTGACTCTAATGGCTTCTGTCTCTTACTAGAAGTTAAGAGACTCAGCTGCCTCTCCACAGACCTACTCGTTTGATCTGGGGTGTAGGGAAAAAGAACTTACTTGTTTTCCTGGTAGTAATTTGGCTGGTTTGAGGTATAGTAATTTTATTTTGTTTCTTGGTGCCTTTCAGCTTGTACCTCCTTTTAAACCTCAAGTGACATCTGAGACAGACACCAGGTATTTTGATGAAGAATTTACAGCTCAGACTATTACAATAACGCCGCCTGAAAAATGTAAGTCAGAAATGTGACTTAACAATGTTTATAATAAAGCACTGTGTAAGGTTTTTTTCTATTTGAATGGAAAAGTTGTTCTCACTGTTACTAATAAAAATCTTCATATGGAAGTATGTAAGAGTAACTCTCAATGACAGTTTTCTTTTTAAGAAGGAGCAATTACAAAACTTAGAATACTAGATCACTCTGGTTTGAGTTTTGAGGGCATTTTTGGTATGGACTTTCATGTTTTGATTTTGTTTGGGGTTTTCATTTGTTTGCCTATTGGGGATTTTTTATTTTTAAATAAGAGAAGTCACTAGCTTCAAGTGTTTACTGGTTGGCAGTCAAGGTCCCAGTTCAGCAAAGTACTTGGAACATGGACCCTGCTTTAAGCATGTGGACACTGCTAGTGGCTGCCTAGTTTTAGTGAGATAGGCATATTTTAAAATAATTTGAAGATGAAAAGAAAAAAATAAGATCTGCTAGAGACAAGTAGATGTCTCTTTGTGTACATATCAATTACTTGAAAATGAAACTCCATATCAAGTTTCGTTCTTCAGCAGAGCTCTTAGAGAAGCTGTTAATGAGGATGTAACTACTGCACTGGGACTTGCACAGTTTCTTTGTTGCAGTGAATGTAATTTCTCCACAGTTTGTATTTTTGTCATCTTCTGTGACATGCACAAGAATTATGATCTGATCAGCCAAGGGCTTAACAGAGTTATTTACCAAGCCAGAGCAGTTAAAATCTTGCTTCTGAGTTCTTGAGTGAATTTTTTTTCTAAATGGGATATTTGTGGGTTTTTGTTTATTTTGAATTGGAGGCTGAGAAAGGCGGATCACAAAAGTAGACATTAAAGGCTGTAGCTATTGTTGCTTACCCTTTCCTAAAGCTAGCCCATTTTTTGGTGTTTTAGGATTCACAGGTTAGCTGCAGTTTTTTGTTTGTATATAGAATGAGTGTATTTTCTGGATTTCATGTTTCTAGTGTTTGAACACAGTCATAGAAGCGCAGAAAGGTTTGGGTTGGAAGGGACCTTAAAGATCATCTAGTTACAAGCCTCCTGCCATGGGCAGAGACACCTTCCACTAGACCAGGTTGCTCAAAGTCCATAATTTAAGTCTTTCTGCTGTGAAAAGAGAACCCTTACTTCTCCCATCTATCTTGATAAGAATTTGTTCATATTTGTAACTCGAACAAATTTTACTAAAATTTGGATTAACTTGGAGTCTGTTGATTTGATATCATAAAGTCCTGATCTCTTGAAACCCCACCTATGCAATGAGAATGGCTATGAGTTCATCAAAGGGTGAAGCAATACAAAACGTGTATGCCTCCAAGGCTTCAGCTTTAAATTTATTGAATTCAGGGCAGATGACTGAGTCTTAAGAATAATGAAGGGGCTTGATGACCAACAGCAGTGCAGAGATCAGCTGCTGAATTGCTGGCATGGGGAGCCCTTCCAGGGAGCTGGCAGGGCTGCCTCACCTGAGCCTGCGGTGAGCAGCGTTGCCAGCAGCACAGAGGTGTATTTTTTCCTGTGCCAGGTAGATTTGCTGCCATTTTTAGTGAACTGCAGTGGTTCAAGAACCACATGGGGCTTTCCCTTTTCTGTTGTTGTGGTTGGGACACTATTTTTAATTATTTTTATTTTAAAATCTACAAGTAATTGTATTATTTACAGTGCGGTAGCACCTCTGTCTGATGTGATTATGCAAAAGGAGATTAAAATGTGTTTTAGGGAAGGAGGACAAGTAACTGTGTATCAGAAGGTTGCTGCTAAAATAAAGATCTTTTCTAGACATTTATTTTTATTGAAACTCTGTCTTGTCTCTACAGTAATCAGTCTGATAGCAAAACAAACAGGCTGTGTACATTAACCTGCTTTAAACTGATAGTGTAAAAGCAAGATTGTATTTGAAGTTACAGAACTGAGTAGCATTGTTGAAGTCAAGTAGCCTAATCATAACAACTGCTCCAACCTGCATTAACTCTAGTTTTTATGTGTAGAATATATGCAGATACAAAAGATACATAATTCTGAAAGGTTGCATATAAATATCTCATTAGAACAACGGTCTCAGTAGGAGTCTTTAAGAATAAGCACTTAAAAAATCCACGTGAGAACGTCCATCCAAATTCTCTGAGTTCGGTAACATCTGGTGCCTGGTTTCCACTGGCACTGCAGGAACTATGTAAATAAAAATATTTATGAATTTGGCTTAGTCCATGTTTCCTCTGATCCCAGTAAATACTGTAAAAATAAATAGTTTACTAAAAAATAATATCTAAGACTTGAAACACATAGAATCTACGTGAATTGTTCATTTTGTAGCTGTTTTTCCTTTTAACTCCCTTTGAAATGGAGGAATATTTAATTTTATCTGCAGTAAGATTATGATTTCCTGAGCTCGGCTCATAAAACTAGGGAAACTGTCTGCCCCAGTCAGCAGTCGGCTTCCATGCTGGTATGTTTTGACTAGCTTAGAACAGGTAGTAGTGATTGAAGTTCTCACGTGATAGGCATAATAAAACCAACCAACAAATCAACCTACCCTGAAATAAATAGTGACATGTGGAAGTGATATCCCTTCAGTGAACATCATCCTGCTGTATGACCATAAGCTTACATACATGACTGAAGTTTTACTTAAACTTGAGTCTTCAACTTCAGCATTGAACCCTGAAAGGTATACTGCATATCAGGTGAATAATGAAATTTTTTTGCAAATATAATGATGTTTTGAACTTCTCCCTTAACACAGATGACGAGGATGGTATGGACTGCATGGACAATGAGAGGCGGCCGCATTTCCCCCAGTTTTCCTACTCTGCAAGTGGACGAGAATAACTTTTTTGTTCTGCTGCTTCACTGTCATCTTAGGTTTATCACTGAAAATGATTCCTGAACATCACCACCAGTACTAGATACTATTATGATAGCAGGGGCACTTTCAGAGACCATTCCAAATTGAACAAGTTTCTTTCCCAAACCTACCTAAAATCCATTTTGGTTTTGCATGACATATGAGATTCTTCTCTACTACGCTCTCCTGCTGTTGCTGCTGCCCACAGTCTCAGTATAATAGCAACGTCAAGAAGTTACTAACAGTTTCTTTGAAGGTAGATGACTTGACTTCAGCATTGTAAACTTTGTGAACAAGTAGTCATCTATTTTTCCTCACAGTGGAGGCTAAACAAAAACCGTGTTGGTCCAGCTTATCTTCTTCCAGAAGACGAATCAAAATTGTCATTAGTCAAAACAGACTAGGCTATAAAATTTTCTTGCATCTGTTTGTGCTGATTAGAATGAGGAAACATAGGGGTGGTGATGTACATATGCAAGGTTTCTGTTAGGCATATCATTACTTGAAGCAGGTCTCTGTCATTAACATCTGGCTGGAATTTGTTTGGGAAATGTTTGAAAGAAGGACTTAAACTGTTGATATATATAAATATATATATATTATTTTTTAATTACTGTTGGATACTACAGAAGAAGCAGAAGGGCTGGGCTCGCCCAGCCTGCCACTTAGAACTTCCAGGTTCATGTGCAATCATGGAGAATCGAACATTATACATGCAAGAAATGAAGGCATAAAAGCAGCATTTGAAGTTGTTCAAGGGGTCTTATAATTTGCACCAGATAACATCTTTCTCATGCTTTTCTCTTTCATGATATGCATCACCTCTGATGGCTGAAGAATGTAGACAGGCATAATGGTATTGCTTTTCACCAAAATGTGTGCACCAAGGTAAACAGGTGTTTGCCTTACTTGTTTTTATTTTGAGTTTGTGAATTAGCTTTTTTCTCCAGGTGTTTAACTCTGAATATTCTTTTTTGCTTTCCTTTCCTCCCCCCCCCCTTGGTTATACTGCATTAGTATTTATTTTTAGAGATAAGGTTTATATGTGTCATGTTTGCAAATGCTGCTACATCTTAGAACAGGCTTATAGCAGTTAATTTTGTAATATATGGAAGGACTGTACAAGCTGAAGGGAATAATGCACTTTTCTCCCATGTGGAAATTTTAACAAGGCTCTGAAATTGTACATACTGCTTAGAATCAGATTTTTGTGAATGAAATACTGTCTTTTGACTGTTTGGCAATGGAGGTGAGGAATTCCAACCTCATGAGCCAAAGGGTTAAAAACAAACAGACAAAAAAGCTACATCTTGTGCTCCATTTAGGATAAACGTAATGTAAGAGCCTGACAGCACAAGAGAAAATGTCTGTTCTATATGAAGGAATTGCATTTGAACAATGAGACCACAGTGATTACAAGAAAAGCACTTTATTTTATTAATTAAAATAGTAAATTTCTGGGATCAGCCGTTCTCAAGGAAAATTTGCCCTCAACCAAAAGAGTCCTGAAATCCAGCAAGTTACATGTAACAGTGGTACCTGATTGACTGAATTTAAAACATCATGACAAATGCTCCACTGATAGGGAAACGTCTTTCCATTTCCTAAGATCTGTGTCTAACAGAACATGTGCATAAACTTTAGCGTTGATCTTCAGCAATGATAATCTTAATAATAAACCCTTTGGTGCTAGGAGTTGGGATGTTACGCAGTGCAGCATATTGAGTGCATGCACCCTTGCTAACAACATCGGACAACCCCAACTCCATGGGATTATCATTTGAAGTATCTCTGCGTTCAGCTCTTGTTAGCTCCCACAAAGACTGTAATATTGCTGAGTATTCCTGGTTGCGTTGTGTGAGTGAGTAGATGGGTCTGAGAGGAGAGACGTTCTACGCAGATGCCTTAGCCTCTTGATGTGGAAAGTTGAGTGCCCAAGCATGAAGCCCACTGCTGGCAGTGCATGTGCTGGGATGGTCAAGGGGTTGATGGGCATTTTAGCAAGGCAGCTAAAAATGCAGAGTAATTTAGACAATTTTTCATGTTTTGTGTTTTATCTTTAGTAATGGATGGATAATCAAACAGAAATATGTCATGATGTATATTGTAACTGCATACAATGTCATTATGTCACCTTGTAACACTAAAGATGTGTAGATGTTGTTGTCCCTGTGCAGAGAGAGAGGTGGGCAGCAAATGCGTTGCAGGTCTGTTCTGCACCGGTGGTGTAGAGGTGTCTACACTGACACAGTGAGCGAGTGACTGAAATAATCAAGTACTTAACAGACGGGCATTAATTAGTTCTCTGCAAAGGTCTCGGACTTACAGACCGAAACTATGGTGATTCAAAATCTGTGTTACATGCCTGTGTTTTCTCCCCTGTGTTTTCAGCTTGTAATAGCAATAAGTCTCTTGACACAGGGCACCTCTAGCTAACGATCGACTGCCGTGCCTCTGGCCAGCCGCTCCTTGCGGGCAGAGGACGCCCTGTGGTTTAGCTCACCATCGCGTAGCTACTTAGTGCGTGGTTTGCAGTAAGTGTCTGTCGGTGAATTATTTGAAAACCTTTTAAGACATCACTTTGCATTGTGTTTGTCTGCCTTTCGAAATATCAGTGATCAAGTTTGTGCTGCAGAGAGTCAGCAGACACTTCATGCTGCCTGGGCTTGGGGGATTCTCTCTTACCAGTGTTAGAAACAGATGACAGAGGAATGGACAAGCAGTGCTGAGAGAAACTTTTGAAGCTCTTCTTTTGCTGTCTGCAGTTGTGGTTGGATTTGGACAGGAGGTGGTGGCTGGTTGTCTTGGTGAGCCTTTTGAGCACAGTACATTTCAGACTTTGACTCCAGCTTGTACTGACTTCCATGACATACAGTATGCCCTCTTGTACTGCAGCCATCTCAGAGGAAATAGGTCATTTCTGTTTGGATTTTGGCAGTTTTGCACACAGCTTCGCTTTCCACACTAATCCATCTTCCAGTACATTCCTGTTGCTTAAAGAACATTTATTCCAGTATTGTTTTACATTTTTTTCCCATCTTTACTTGTGGCTTCTTAAAGCTGACTGTTCTTGCAGGGGCCATGTGCTTCTCCTAGAGTACAAAAGTAAGGTCTTTCCTTACTAACTGCAGGGTCTATATATTACACCTCAATGTACACACTTTGCTGCTACTGTTTGTACTGTCTACAGTAGAATTTCCTTATCTTGCTCCTGGTAGTGCATTACAGGCAAGCATGAAATGTAAAGTATTTATTTAAATAAAAACCTCTAAATTGGTAATTGAATTACCTCCCTGTAGCTTTAGAGTTTGTGACATTTCTTGACCTTGCTAGTTCTTTCATTAGATCCATGCAAGATCTAGTCATATGGTTAAGGATATTAAGCAGACACGACTATGAACCCAAGAAACCGTATTACTGTTGGTCATACTTAAACTGTTTATTTCCTTAAGTATATGACCCACAAGGATGTGAAATAACTACAAGAAACTGTTTTTGTACACTGTACATCCTTAGTATTTTTACACGTATATGATAGGGATGCACATTATTTTCCTTCGTACAGACAGCTTAAATAAAGCACTATGTCAATCTGCTACTTCTGTGTTTTCTAATGCTAATTTGTTCTGGAGGTTTGTAAATATATATATATATGTTCAAGCTTGCCACAAAGGACGTATTTTTTTATATCTGCACATTACTATTAAATATCTTAGGGGATAAAATTCCTAAGTTGTTCCATGTCAAAGAAAAAAAAAGGAAATGAGAAAGCTATATTGCAGATTACAAAAGATTTCTCAAGTTTTGGGTTAAATATTTACTTCATATTTTAAAGTAATTTTATATAGGTTAGATGTTTCAATCCTGAAATGCACAAAGAATTTACTTAATTTCTTCTTACAAGAAAATGTACATCGTTATTTTTTTATCACTGTATATATAATGATCTGTGCATGTTTAGTTACAAGTTTTATTTGCTGTGAAGTCCTAGTGATAACTGTAACTCGCTGTGACATATTTCAAATACTGGGTGAACAGTTTCAGCTTGTAAATTATTAAGTTACAGTATTGTCAAAAAAAAAAGTTTTTATGACTAAGCAAGATGTATTTGTGCTTTGGACTGAGGCTGTTGCCATACAGGTGGTTCATGTTAACTCTATGAGGTGTATGACCTTATGAAAGTAAATTTGGGTTACACTTTTGAAGCAATGATCCACAGGGCTATGTTCCTATCAGAACACCCATGATTTAAGTGATTTTCAGCTAATGAAATTCTTGGCCTCATGTCCCACAGCTAGGTGATGTGTTTGGGTAAGGAGAAGGGAAAAAAGTGAAGGTGGGATTTACAGGGCACCATGGAGTGGGACCCTTTGAAGCCCACGAGCTGGTCCAGGGCCATTTGAACCAGCCAATCTGGAGGGCTGAGTGTCCCTAAAGCAAAGGGTGGTCATCTGGGTTTTAGCTGTTCTTTTACATGAATGCTTCTCAGGAATAGAGGTGCTTCATCCAGGTCTCAGGTTTTTTCCTTTTTTTTTTTTTCTCCTTTTTTCTCCCCCACCTTGTAATAGGAAAGAGCATCAGAGAGACAGCCAGCCATAGTTAAGTGATATTAGGATGTCAGTGACCAGGACGCAGCTGTGGCAGGGGCAAGACTGTATGGTCAGGTTGCATCCTGTGTTGTGGAATCACACTCAGTCTGTTGACCTGGGGTTTCCTGGATTTGATTGTCTGATCTGACACTTGTAAACTTTGTAAAACTAAGCATTTTGTGCTTAAGTAGAAGCAGGGGAGGGAGGGGGGCAGGGCATGAGACAGATAGGCCTAGTGCTGTCTCTGTTAATGACTAATTGAAGTAGAATAGCTGCTGCAGGGAAAATGATTCCTTCTAGACTCCTGGCAACATAATGGGTTGCACCTACATCTGGGATGAGTATGAAAAACCTAATTCCAGCTATATATACTGGCAGCCCAGGACCCTTTGTTGAATCAGACCCGTACGTGCACGTGAGTGGCTGGCAGTGGTGCCCCGCACGTGGCCACCAGAAGCCACCTGGTTGGTGAGGCAGGTCCAGAAAGGTTGAGGGTCCCGCTGTGCCTTGGGCCAGGGCATGGCAGCTCCAGGGTCTCAGTGAAGCCTAAGTGTTGGGATTACGTGCCCGAGTTCCTTTGCGCGCGTAGGCACTGTCTCCTATTTAAACACGCATTTATGCTGCAGAATAATAAAAAATAAATTTTAAAAAGTTTGCATTTTCCTACATTTATAAATGTATATTCTTAACTGTGTAACCATCTATAAAGTAGTGACACTTATAAAACTGTCAGCCTGATTACTATGGCAAACCCCAAGTTTGACTAGAGAGGACTTTCCTTCATGAGGCTTTCTTGTCCCTAAAGACCTGAGGCCATTTTTGGTGTGCTTGGTGTCATATCTGTGAAGCAGTTCAGGGAGGCGATCAGATGTGTTTGGCAGTTAAATATGGCAGGAAATTGAAATAGGGAGGAAAAAATCCCTTTGATGTTAAGGCTGTACCACTAATAATTCTTAAAATACAAGGGAAGGAAAGATTGTGTTCCACAGCCAATGGTAACTTATGCATGTGCTGTTACTCTTATTTTTGTTACATTTTATGTGCCGGCTGGAGTAGCTTTATCACTGGGGAACTGTCTTTGCCCTTTTTTTCCCCCTTTGCTAGTGCAATTCTGCAACTACACTGAAGGTAATAGATGTAGAAACTTTTTTCTTGTGTGCATAGCTTATTCTACACTAGATAGCAAAAGATTCAGATAAATTCTTTCTGAAACAGTGTGGTATTTGGAGAGTAACCTTGGATAATGCAAATGCGCAGTTAACCAGAAAAAAAGCCTCCGAGTGTTTTGAGTTCAAAAATTTGAAGCCAAATTCAGGTGTTGCCCATCCCTGAGACTGCTGAATATGTGCAGGCGGAAAAGTCCAGCTTCACCACTTTCAGTGTTGAGAGCCAGGCAGTTGCTTAATGGCTCATCTGTACAAACCAAGGGCTCCTTTCTCTTAAAGGCTTTATCCAGCAACATTTTAAAGGGAAACCAGACCCATGGCAATTCTTCCACATTATGTGGAATATTTCTCAATCATTCTTATGCTTTTCTGATGAATAAGCAGTTGTTGGGACTCTCACTTTTTATATAAAAGTGACAAATACCCTGTAAAATAAAGTTCCTAGGTAGATTCTGGTACTGAGTTTGTAAACAGGAAGGCAGCGTGGTTGTGCAGAACTTGCAAACAGCCCCCTTCTCCCTCCTCCCCCTGCACATGCTTTCCCTTGAATTCAGAAGGACAAAATGAGAACCTAAGAGTCCTATTAGGTTTATTGATATTTCAGTCTGTGAATAATATAGACATGTATGTTCAATTACGAAAATAGATAAAAACATTTTATAAAAATTGTACAAATTATTAAAGTCTACACCACATAATAGCTGTTAAAACTGGCTTGCAAGCCTGGTCTTTTCAGAAAAGTCTCAGCTGTTGTCCTAGAAAGTCTGATAGGCTGGTAAGGCTTCAAAATATTTGTGATTCTGTAGTTAAAACCAAATAGAAACCAGCTGAAATTAGCTAGCAAGTGTGGCTGTTTTCTGCAGAGGTGTCTTTGGGTGAGCCTCAGACAAGTTTCAGCCAGGTGCAGAGCAGACCTGAAAGATAAAAGGAAGAGATGGGTAGTCTGTGTGGCAGTGCCTGTGTTTCTCATTTGTGTCACTTCAGCCTGCAGGCGAGTTCTTAGAAGAGAAATACAGAACTGGTTAAGATTGCAGTAAGGCAGAGTAAACAAGTGCTGTTTCAAAGCCTGTGCTTCCTGTGGGCCTGCTGTCCTTACCTCTTTCTAAGCTCAGAAGTCTTACAGGTAGCAAGAACAAGAGATATCTGATTTCTGAAAAATAGGATCTCCATGAGCTTTCAGTGTGGCTGCTGTTTAGCAGTAAATAACTGAGCTCTTGTTCTGGGGCACGTCTAAGATCCTGCCCCTTTTTCCTTCCAGGAAAGAAGGCGGTGAGTTTGTGCCAGAGAGTGTTTTCTGTGCAGTGTACCCTGTGTGTCTGGTGTGGGCAGCTGTAGCAAAACAGGAAGCTGTTGCCTAGGTGCTGGTAGGAAACCTCTGGTGGGAAGGCTGATTTGCAGTTTTGAAGCTCTTGCATAGCTATTGTTTGTGCTTCCTTGGTAGCACTTGACTGAATTGAGTGAGACATCAAACTATTGGAGCTGGGGGAGCTACCTCGAATTAAGCCACTGGAGTTCTAAAATTGAATTTAAGAGATGTACATGACCTCAGAAATAAAAATAAACTTTCTACTTTGGCTGGTTTTGCATTAGAAGACTAAAGGGTTTGTTTTTTTTTTTTCCCCCTGGTTGGTTAGGCTGAGTTAAAAAAAGAATTTATGAAGCTGCAGTTCATTAAAGAATTAAAAGAATTAAAATCAGTAATATGGTATCCCCCCCCAAAATACATGCACCAACACCACCTGGTACAGTTGTGTCTGCAGCCAGTGCAAGGAAAAATGAACTATGGCAGTGGAAGGCCTTGGGGCTTAAATTCCCTCTCAGTACCTGGTTAGTGACAACAAGAGGAAACCTTCTCTGTGCTGCAGTGACCCCCAGCATAAGAGTACAGGCAGAAGCTTAAAAAGACAATAAAAGACCCCAAACACTCAACTCTGCAGAAATCTCTTGGCAAATGATTTTGTGGGTGTCTTTCCACACCACAGTTACCCAGTGTTAATGCTTTGTGAGATGCAGAACCTCAGCTTGATGGAGGAAGTGGGCAAATCTCCTCCTGACTACAGCCTGGCCTGAACTGCCAACCAAGTGCAAACACTGGCAGTGTCTTGGAGCACCCCACTATACAAGGGCCTCGGTGCTAAAGCAGTTATTTAAGGTGTGCCATCTCTAACTAAATGGGCACAACTGTCATTCTCATGTCCAGGTAATTGGTAAACAAATTGGTTACTGGATAGTCAGGGGCAGAGCCTTTCCAGTCTTAGTTTCTCCTCCTCCCAAGAGTACTTTGGTATTCACCAAGCAGACCTCTCCAGGTTCCTCTGGACATTACCTTCTCACCTCATTGGCATCTGTTTTAACTGGGTGGTTGGGTATTCTTAGGTGTACAAGTTGGAAGAGTCTGTAGGAGTGGAACCACAGACATAATTTAATTTATTGCTGTTAGCTACACTTTGAGGGGAGAGGAGCCACTAGCTTCCTGTTTGGTTAGAAAGCAGAGGTGGCTTCAGTTCCTCAGTCCTCCTTTGGCTGTAAAACCCAGGGTGGAGCTCTCAGGAGGGCCAGGCTTAGCTCCTGGCCTGCGGCCCAGCAGCCAGACACCAGACCTCCCACAGCTGCAGATTCCCAAACGCTGAAGAGCTGAATACCTGAAGTGTCATGTCAGGCCACTCAGACATCAAGCAGAGGTCTATCTTTGTTCCCTCCTATCGTAGTTTAACTTGCATCACCTCTGACTAAAACTCCATCCAAGCAGAGGTGAAGATTTTTATCTCCTTAAAAAACACACAACAATCACCACCACCAACGCCTGCCTGTGGAATGTCACTGGCACAAACACCCAGCAGAGGCACTATCTTTGTGCATTAAGACTACACTAAAAACAAAAGCTCTTTCCCCAGTAAGCTGAGCAGTCTTCAGGTCTCCTGAAGAACAGTTGAGGGCCGTGTAAGGATCAGCCTGAATCACTTTTGACATCGGCGATGGATGAGCTACCTGTTTGCTAGACACAAGGCTCCCCTTCTGTAACATACAATGAAAAAACCAAGCAAACGGGGCACTTGGGACCTCATTGAAAATTCCTGCTGACATAAAAAAGCAAAGAAAACCACTGCCCCAGAACATCTGTAATTCTGACAGTACCTCCTGCTGAGCGACTGGGGTGAGGATGGGAACATAGGGACGGGTGAGTGTATTTTAACTTCCTTTTAGAAGAAAAGTGGTCTGTTCACAAACACGCTCGCTGTGAAAGAGACATCTGTAATGAGGGAGGAGAGAGTTCAGTGGCTCGGTCACACAGAGAGCGCAGGGATAGTGCAGGTTCCTGCCAGGGAGAGGCTGGCTTGCAGAAGATCTTTGGGGGGAAGGCAGAGCAGCAGCACAAGACGACAGCGCTAGCTGGAGTTA